TGTAGATAGCAAAGCTGGTGCTCACCTGAGTAAGTGCCAAAAATAATTTAAAAAAAGATTTTTAAAGCTTGCCATATCAGTGAGATTTAAACCCTGTTGAAGACAAGGGATGTAAAACGCTTTCAGTATTTTCAAGTGGGTCCAGGTTTGAAGTCACTTACTATAGTAGTGTATCTATGCATACAACAGGGTTTTCCAAGTCCTCCCAACTCTGCCTGCCAAAAAGCTGCTCTTGAGGATCAAAGTATCATATGGGAAGTCCTGGAATCTGACAGAGGAAAGTTCTAGAAGGGGGAAATGATCCATTCCTAGCTACAACCTCCACCCTAAGACTTTTCTGACTGTCCTAATTCCAATCCTCAGGAAAGGCATTTCAGGGAGCTGCAATAAGAGGATAGGACAAAAAAAAAAAAACCCCTAGACTTTGATGTGACTTCTGCTCATGTAACATACTGAGCATCTGAAAAGCAGTTGCTAACTGAATAGTACAAATATCTGAACAGCAAGTCAGCAATTCATTACCTTGCAAGAGCAATTTTGATGTCACTTTTCTACCCATGTAGGATGTTGTTCTAATGCCGGAGGAGTATAGCGCATGGACAATTATTTCTTGTGGACTCAGTTATTCATTTCATCCAAAGTTAGGAACACATGATGTGGCAAATATTCATATGCAGAATTAAATTTGGTTTTGAGGGGGAAAATTCTCTGAAATATTTTTCACAAACCTAACAAGGACAGTAGATGTCTGAAGCTGCCCAGCACAATTAAATGCATTGGAAATTAAAAGCTTCTTTTTAGCACTGCTTTAAGACATCACATTAGGAGCCTGCAAAGTATCCTGAAGTAACCTTATATAGTCACGTATACATATAAATTTTAGTCAACCCACAAAACTGAGTTGACTTATTCATGGATCAATGTGAGGACTGTACCTTAACTCTTCATCAAAAAAGGAACTATCTCCTCCAATGAGTAGAGTAGTGAAAGGCAAAAGCTTAGTCTGTCCCAGGAGAACACAAAAGAAGCACTGACTTCCTGTAGTCTCTCTGCTATGGCATAACTTTTGGCCTTTTTGAATGCCCGGGTGGGGAAATGATGGCTGGACCCCTTCTCTGTGGAATGACCAGCTTTTTCTCGAGTCATATAAAAATATATGTTGATTCCCAAACCTGCCTTCGACATATACACAAAGTCAATGAATAATGAGTATATTTGGTACTTAAAAATCCGATACAGTGCAGTATGTGAGTGTGGCAGCAGTTAATGTTTGTAATTAATTGGCCAATAATGTTAACTCCAGTCCACAAGAAAACCAAAATCCACTTAGCCTGGAAGCATATAAGACATCGGTAGACAACTGTTAGTTTTCACATTTACTGGATTGCAACTCTCATAATCCTTAACTATTTGTTGACTATGTTGGCTGGGATTGGTGGGACCCCATAGTCCAGTGCTTCTCAAGGTGTTTTGGCCTACAAGTCCCAGAAATCCCAGCCAGCATACCAGCTGTTATGATTTCTGGGATTTGAAGGCCAGGGGACTCACAGGTTGAGAACCACTGCCATAGTCCAAAAGACCTCAGAAAAATGCAGGTGCTGAATCCAAGAGAGAGGAATTTGAACCGTACAACACAAAAAGCAGTCTTGCAAACACCTCATAAATGAGAGTCCTATGACATGCATGGGTATGTAAGACAGGACTCCAAAAAAAAAATTAACCATTTATTGCTGCAGCAAAAATAGCTAAGAGATCTGCAGCATTGTAAAAGCAAAACTCAGGATTCAAGAAGGCCTAGGGCAGTGGTTCTCAACTTGTGGGTCCCCAGATGTTTTGGCCTTCAACTCCCAGACATCCTAACAGCTGGTACTGGCTGGGATTTCTGGGAGTTGTAGGCCAAAACACCTGGGGACCTACAGGTTGAAAACCACTGCCCTAGGGATTCTCAGAAAAGCAATGAGTGATGTACCACGTGGTACACCGGTGTTCCAATTTGTCCTATTTTGCCACAGCTCCCTGAGTGCTTGCAGAGAACTTTCATCACATTTGGAAGTGTCCAGATTAAACCCCAGATCCTTCCAGTTAAAACAGGAGTAAGTTTAGAGGGCCACACGACTTCTTCCAGGGAGTCATGTTATGCCACCTTGGTTGCTATTTCAAGTAATCAGAAATGACATTGTGCCACACCCAGTCATATTGTGGGAAATCTGTTTCAAGGGAAGTACTTTTTAAAGCACTTTTCAACTATTTCCCAATATAAACTATATTATAGCCTATTTAAATTCGTTCTGTGTATGTGTATCAGGGCCTCTTGAAAGTTTTCAAGGTCTCAAGGGCCACACTGAACTCTCTAAAGGGAATGCATTTACCTGCAGAGTGTACAAATTCATACTCACACATTAAAAGTATCAAATAGCATGAAAGATTTCTGTGCAAGGCCCCAGAAAGCTACCAGAAGTGAATGATGTACACAACAGATGAATTATCAGTCTATCTTGATATAAAGTAGCTTCATCTGTTTCGATGTTATTTTGGAATGAGAGAGCTGTCAAGCTCAGGAGCATAACTTGGGGCAACAATAGATAATGTATGCACCTTCAAATGTTATTAGACTGCAGCCCTCATCACCTCTCCCTATGCTAGGCAAGGCTAATGGGATGCGTAGCCCAGTATACTCTGGAAGACCACCTACATTTATCCATAGGAGGATAGATGAGGACAAGGACAGTTGTTACAATGAGCCATATCAAGTCCATCTTAGCACCAAGCAACCAGAATTCTGTTCAAAAGGCATTATGTGTACACACACCTTATTAACAACAACAAAAAGAGAGAGAGACATGAAACAATAAGTTATGTTTAGCCAACAATGGTACACTGAATTCCAAAGTAAAATAAATGGTAATTTCATTTGTGGTGGTAATCAGAAATAAAATACCATATAGGTTGATGGAGCCCCTGGTGGCGCAGTGGGTTAAACCCTTGTGCTGACAGGACTGAAGACCGACAGGTCGCAGGTTCAAATCCGGAAGAGCGTGGATGAGCTCCCTCTGTCAGCTCCGGCTCCCCATGCGGGGACATGAGAGAAGCCTCCCACAAGGGTGGTAAAACCCTAATATCCGGGCGTCCCCTGGGCAACGTCCTTGCAGACGGCCAATTCTCTCACACCAGAAGCAACTTGCAGTTTCTCAGGTCGCTCCTGACATATATGTATATATGTGTGTGTCTATACACACATACATACACTCTCACACACATATACATATATAGGGAGTGCTGATATTTTGAAGTGGTTTCCACAGGACTGAAACCATTATTTATAAATAAAGCAATCTGGAATTACAATATTGCCCTTTCTCTTCTTTTTTTTACCCACATGCAATCAGTCAAGACTGAATTTCACTCAACTGAAGAAACTGTATATTACTCAGAAGGAAGTTTTCTGAATTCCATGAGACATAATCCCAAATAAGCAAGAGTAGGACTGCAGTTTTAGTTTGCCATGATATTTAGTTTCAACTAAATTAAGAGCACCTTTGAGACTAACTAGGAAGAAGAAATATCTAGCAAATAGCTAGCAAAAGTTTGCATCTGATGAAGTGGACCATGTGCTGCAAATTTCTTATTCCTAGTAAAAAATTAAGGGTACCACTGGATTTCTTTATGACTTTGTGTAACCTTTAACTAGATAGACACAGAAGTGATAGACTTTCTAGAAAAGCCAAATCCAGTTCTTAGTGATACACACACACACACAACCATTTTAGACCTAGTTGGAGAATGAATTGTGGTAATCCAGAACAGAATGGGTGTTTAAATGCTATTTTTTTGGAGGAATTGCTGCCACTTACTCTTAAAAGAAAAGGCAGAGCACTCCATTTGGTCACTGTTACTCATCAGGAAACCAGACCACTATTCCTGGAACTAGGCTGTTCTATTTCTGCTGGCAGAAATCTTATGATAAGTGCACACACCATGTACACACCCCTCTGTGCAGAATGTACCACTACCAATGGTAGGGTATGCTACCGTTTAGCACTGATTCCCCTCATTTCTTTAATATAATGACAATGAAATAATATTGTAGCCCTACTTCATTATACAGATAATGGTCACAAATATATGTAAGAGTTGCTCCTATGTCATGGTTGCTAAGCAGTTCATCTCATCACCACCGATGTCTACAGTGCATATTTCTATGGGGAAGCAGTTTGCACACACTGCTGTACACACAAAAGCACCAATGGAGCAGCATAGAATTCATGGTTGCTCCAAAGCTTCTACATGTACAGTTTACACATCACATTCCAGGATTGAGCGATTCACATACTGTTGTAATGAAATAACGTTATATAAAGACTGGACAGAGGTTATTCTTTTACACCGTTTTGGCATTTCCACTGTTAATGTATATGCCATGACTTTTTGAAAGTGCAGTTACTTTTTATACAAATTAACATTTCATTCTATTTTTCTGCAACTGCCATTCTTTCATTTCCTCACACAGAAGGCACCTGCCTCCAGGTATCCACAGATATTTCAGAGGCAGAATATAGAAGTGGGACACTCAACAAAAAATATTTTTGATTTCCTACTTTTAATTCAGATCTGATCTGTGAAAGTTAAAATCCTGTGAGGTTTCTATATTATTTGCTTTTTGTATACTGAAAGGGGAAAATTTACCCTTCTGTGCTCATTTGAAATATTCAATCATGCACTGCATAACTGTTTTTGTTTGACATTATCAGGAAGAAACTTCATTTTATTTTAATAGTAGGCCAATCCCTATTTTCATTACTTTTGCTATGACATTTCTTATATTTTAAAAGATGATGTAATGCATTTACTTAAAAAAGACAGCAAAATGGTATGAAAATAAGCAAATAAAAATTATAGCCCTTTAAGCACTCCTTTAGCAGTTCTTTGTTAATGTCACCAAAAAGTGATTAATACTTATCAATCCCATGTTATACTTTTAAAAATAAGAACGCAAAAACATAATGATTGGGAACATTTTATCAAAAGGTACAGTATGATCTCCATGTATGAAAACCTGATTTCCTAAATCACAGGTATCCAGTATTATATGGTACATACATAATGTTAAGGATGAGCTAGAAAATGCCTATTTAACCATTCCACCCTTTGTTTAATATAAACTGAATTAGAACCATGAAATAATTTGACTATACTTATATCATAAGCACCTTCCCACGCTAAGTCTTTATGCCTCTGACAAAATGTCAAGGTAACTGCATCTGAACTTCACTTTTTGTAAAATATTTTGTACATGGTAACAAGAAATTTTGCTGTGCTGTCACCATTTTAACAAGATATGAGATGTTGGCTGCCAGTTTGTTTCTCAGTACAAAGGTCGTGTTTAGTGAAGCAACAAAATAAATACGCCAGGTTTTTTAGCCCTGAGAAAATTGACTTTTATGGTAAAAAATACAATTTTCAGAGGGCTCCCTTGTAATGCAAAAAATTATCTGTCAAAATTAACTATAATTTTCAATGTTTGCAGTTCTGTACTCTTCACATATGATATACCAAGAAAACTCTGGAAAAACTGAGATGCTTATTGCAAATTCCTTCTTAACACTTCAAACATTTTTCTCATTTCCCTATTTTGTCCATCGGCACACTAAAGCTTATATTTAAACTATGCTTCCCACATTATATTAAGCATGAAAATACAAATTAGAAACTTTATTTCAGTAGATAGAGGGCTTAAGGCAAGGCATTCATTTTTAAAGATATTTTCTTTCTTTTACTCTGGATTGACACAATTGTTCACAACCCCCATCAGTGCCTTAGGATACACAACGTACATTCGGCAAAAGGGCACACCAATGACCCAATGGACATACGCTGTCAAGTCCTGAGTGCCCATTGAAATAATGGTAATATTTTCATATAAGGCATGATCCGCAGGAACATGGCACGGGAGACGTTAATCTGCTTTGTTTTTATTCTTGCTAGTGTATTCAATATTCTCTAGTGATATAGCATTCTTTTCTTACTAACCATCTTTTCAGACAAATACAAACCCCTTTAAAAGGTGCTATAAATGGGCTTTGAAAATATAAAATATATCCACCATAGCATCTTGAATCATTGTTTTGTTGCTGTGTTTCTGTAGGTGAATTCTGTTTTTTGATTGAAACTATTTGCCAATAAATGGCTGTTATGTCCCGTACTGCTTTTTTCTTCTACATCATTATCTTCTGGCTTTTTCGACCGAGAGGGTCTGATGCTTTCTTGGTCTTTATTTCCTTTTTGAGTTCTTTTCACTGGAAATATTAACAACACTAAAATGCAGGCAATGTGGAGGCAGAAATTACAGGAGCTAAGCAAAGAAAGAAAAATAAAAAAACATGGTCATTATAACATGTTAAACATCTACCTTTCAGTCAGTAAACCTACTATATGTATTACATATTGTGTTTTGGGTACATATCCATAATACTGTATAATTTATTGGTCAAAATGCAAGTTATGAGCTGTGTTCTGAAAGTTCAAACCATTTCTTTTGTCTTAAAGAGAGTGAATATAAGACATTTAACCTTCCACCCGGGTCCTAAAAACATTCTGGTGATGGGAGAGTTTGCTTTTAAATACTAGAATAAACAGAAATACCAGCATTTCAAGTCTACACAGGTGTTTTGTGTAGAACTGGGACTGAGAAACACACTTTTTACAAATAATATAATAATAATAAACCTTTATTTGTATTCCGTCAAATCTCCCAAAGGGCTCCTGATGCTATAAAAAGGCACAATCACACACATCAAAAGAAACAAAACATTTAAAAGGACAGGAAAAGAGACTGAAGGAACACTAATGAACACTGAAGAAGCAACACAAAGATGAAGAATATGGTGAGGAAAAGATGTTTTGTTTTAGACCAGCATTCTCAACCTGGGGGGTGGACCCCAGGGGGGTCATGAGGGATCGCCAAAGATCACAAGAAAGCACAGCATTTTCTGTTGATCATGGGGGCTCTGTGTGGGAAGTTTAGCCCAATTTTATAGTTGGTGGCGTTCAGAATGCTCTTTGATCATAGATGAACTATAAATCCCAGGAATGAAAACTTCTAAATGTCAAGGTCAATTTTCCCCAAAGTCCACCAGTGTTCACATTTTGGCATATTGAGTATTCTTGCCAAGCTTGGTCCAGATCCATCATTGTTTAAGTCCACGGTGTTCTCCGGATGTAGGTGAACTACAACTCCACAACTCAAGGTCAATGCCTATCAAACCTTTCCAGTATTTTCTGTTCGTCATGAGAGTTCTGTGTACCAAGCTTTGTTCAATTCCATCGTTGGTGTTCAGAATGCTCTTTGATGGTAGGTGAACTATAAATCCCAGCAACTACAACTCCCAAATGACAAAATCAGCCCCCACCAGTATTTAAATTTGAGCGTATCGGGTATTTGTGCCAAATTTGGTCCAGTGAATGAAAATACATCCTGCATATTGGATGCTTACATTAAAATTCATAACAGTAGCAAAATTCCAGTTATGAAGTAGCAACGAAAATTATTTTATGGTTGGGGGTCACCACAACATGAGGAACTGTATTAAGGGGTTGTGGCATTAGGAAAGTTGAGAACAGAGCAAAAGAGATAAAAAGCATTAACTAAGTGCCTGAGGTGTGTAGGCAAATGGACAATGGAGACATTCCTCACCTTGCTGCTTACACTGGACAATTAAAACAAACTGAGCGTGGAAGGTGCAAACAGAACCAGACATGCATATAGAAAATGTGATGTGAGGGAGCTACTACAAATGATAGGAGCTTTGGTAGTTTCTGAATTTTTACTGCACAAGCACATAGGAAGGACCCTTGTGTGTGAAAAAGTTTATATCATGGTTTGTTCAGTTGTCAGCTAACAAGAACAAACAACAAGATGTAAAGCGTCAACTTACCTGTAAAACATGTACGATGATTTTACAGAGAGAAGTACAAATGGTACAACTGTATAACTTATTGCTACTTGAGTCATCATCCACGTCATGATATCATAACATAATTTAATGGCTGGAGAATCAATGAAGTAGTGCCTAATATTTTTTCTAATCTAAAAAAAGAAGGATCAAATACTTATTAAGTAAATCAATCTTAAGCATCTTTATATACCATATAGCAGCTTTATATGTTTAACAAGAAAGACCATTTAGATATAACCAAACTGAAATTCTTCATTATTAACTTTAATGTCACATTGGTAAGGAACTCTGCTCTACAAACATCTTCACACTTTCTCCTTTTGGTATTTTTGTTCTCCTTTCTAGTTTTAAAGTCTACCATCGTTTTCACAGAAGGCACTATCATTTTCATTGGCTTACTACACTCCACATCCAGTGGAGTTAGGTTAACATTCACCTGCACTTTCCCTCCAAAGCTAAATTTCATAACGCTTAGATGGTGAGTATGAAACAAGTGGAGGCATCGCTCTTCCTGCTTGCTCATTTAGAAAAGCAGCATCAGCACAAAGAGAGGTTCCAGACAATAGTGACATGTCAACCCTCATGCGATGTGGGCCTCATTAGGTTCCCAGATCTTCTGACATTGGATATGCCTAAGGTCAGAATTCTTAAAATCACCACTAAATCTGTGGTTTAGACATATTGCTATTTTTGTAAATAAGCTCTACATACTCAAAGTAACAGGAATAGACAGCATTCTATCCCAGAGATTCTTTCCTTTTGGCCTCTTGGAAACTCCCTTTGATATCCATATCAGTTCTTGGACTTTATCTTGTTTTAACCTGTCTATAAGTCACCTTGGGTCCCATGGTGGGAGAAAGGGAGACTAGAAGTCTAATAAATAAATAATATCCCTGAGATCCAAAGCCATATTTTACTTCTGATTTGGAGGAGTCATGCCTGTTGTCCCACCTGCATGCTGAGAAACTGGATCTTCGCTTAATTTTTTTACAAACACATTTTGTGCTTTTTAAAGCCTTTGTAGAAAAGAAGACCATCTGACCAAGCACAATTAAGTTTTTTTTATTTCAGTAGATAGAGGGCTTAAGGCGTAAGTCTAATAGCTTTGAACCAATAGTGACAACTGCATCTATTCCTTGAAATATCTGATCTGACTATAGTGACATAAGCCTTAGTTTCATCCCATCTGAATTACTCCAATTTACTTTATGTTGGGCTAACTTTGCAGAGCATTCAGAAATGTCAGGAGGCCCACAGAACTGAAACCAGACTATGAAATGGGGCTGGCTGAAAGAATCCAACTCCCTTGTTGCAACAGTTCCACTGGCTGCATTTCTGGGCACAATACAAACGGAAGCTGGCTCTTCTCCCACTAACTTCTCAGGCTCTTTTGTGGGAAACACTAAGAAGGCCTTCCTGATGGCTGCTCCTGGACTCTGGAACACCCTCTCTATTCAATCATGCTTTTCGAAATTGACTCTGCAAATGATTTATAATTGTTTTTGTTTTGTTTATTTTTATATGGCATTTTAATTCATTTTAAATGGGTTTAACTCTACAGATTCTTTAATTGTATATATATATGTGTGAGAGAGAGAGTATTTGTAGTTTTTATCTGTACTGTATTGTTTTTCATAAGTTGTTTAGTCCAATTACTGGGGAAAAGGGGGACTCATCATCATCATCATCATCATCATCATCATCATCATGGGTTAAACCCTTGTGCCAGCAGGACTGCTGACCTAAACGACAGCAATTTGAATCCGGGAGGCAAGGTGAGCTCCTGTCTGTAAGCTCCAGCTTCTCATGCAGGGACATGGGAGAAGCCTCCCACAGGATGGTCAAAACATCTGGGCATCCCCTGGGCAAACTGCCAATTCTCTCACACTAGAAGCGATTTGTAGTTTCTCAAGTTGCTCATGATACACACACACACACTCACACACACAAAAAAATCATCATAATGCAGAGCATGGATCAGCAATACTTACTGTTCGTGCTGCTAATGTCATTAGTACCCCTGTTAAGAATGTTAAATAATATCCAGGATATACTCCATGCCAAATTGCTGACAAGATGAAGGTTTGTATCGTTGGACTAATGGAAGCACGTTCATAGCATACTCTATAAAATCAAAGAGAAAATATACCATGTATAAGAGACATGAAGAAGTAATCTTCTGGTCAAAACAGGCATAGTGAATATAATTAAATTTTCATCACTCAGAATTACAGACAGCATACAAGAGTCAGTCCACTGTGTGCTGAACACATGTACCCTTTGAGAAACAGACTGCCCAATCTCAGATAATTTTTGACTACAGGAAAAAGCTATAATTACTTTTTCACAAAACAATAGTCACTGGAGATATTGAATTCCCTTCACATATTTTGGGTATAAATTATCCAGGCCGCTGACCTGTTACATGGGCAGATTCAGAATATCCTCAGAATACGGTGAAGCCCCAGTTTGAGACTCAGTTGGGAAGCAATCTTGTCCTCTAATATGAACAAAGTGTTCAATTATATTCCCAAAATAATATACAACAAGTTTTCCCCCTCACCTTAAGGAATCACTCTCCTCCATCTCTACCATACAATGGCCAGAGGTTTTAATTTACCAAATGGCATTTTCCATCTTCTCATTTCTATGCAGCTTCTTATAAGCCCTGCAATGGCTCTCAGAAAAATTACTTGGACAATATGTAGGGATTACTGAAGGAAGATTAGTGTTACCCAGAAAAGTGAGACACAAATCAGACTGATCTGAGGCAATTCTCTCATCTTCCATGTTTTCCTCTTTCCACAAAGCTTGGGAATGTCATAGTGAGTCCTCCAGGGAGGAAGAATTTGAGCCTCTTGAACCTGAAGGAAATTTCCCTTTCAAAACCCAGGACCCTCAGATGAAGGTACAGAGACTTCCTTCCGGAAAGAGGCAGCTTTGATTTTCAGTTCAAAAACAAACCCAGAGCCCATTTCAGTGTGCAAAAAGGGAGGAGGTCCATACAACATAAATCTTTTATTAAAAAAAAAAGTTGACATATTATCTTATCTTCATACAAATACAACCCCGATACATTTTGACTTATAGTCTTCATGTGAACTATTCTTAGTGAGGGAACTAAGGGTACAACTATTATTCAAGGAATACTGAAATACTAAATAAGCCCTGTAGTGCCAAAAGGGCAGGGGAGCAGAAGAGTGTAACAATGACGTGGTGAAATAAGGCATATATTCTGTATGATCCCTGCAGCTGCAGGCGATATGCTCCTGAACTTACCATAGAAACAGGAAACTATGTATATGAGCAAACAACTATTGAATGCCTCTCTACGAACTGCCTAGATCCTCTAGGGCAGTGGTTCCCAAACTTATTTGGCCTACCCCTTGGAAATCAATTTTTCTAAATCTTCTCTTCTTTCTTTTATGCTTTCACCGCCCCCTTACAGTTACTCATCGCCCCCAAATGCACCTGTGGCCATTACCACCCCCCACCCCCCGAACAGCTGCAGCACCCACCAGGGGGTGATAACGCCCACTTTGGGAATCACTGCTCTAGGGTAACTCTGTGGTAGCAACTGACATAAGCTGTTCCATTTCCACAGTGATCACTATTATCCAGGGCTTCCTGTTTCCAAGCTAAGTTCAGGAATATATCCCCTGATTCCATGGATATGGGAGTCATACTACATACATACACATCCAGATAGACTCACAGGGCAGAAACAGACCTTATTGTCAAGCAAATCTATTCACTCAATGCTTCTAATAATAGTTAGTAAGAAAGAAAAGGGGTACCTTTTGAGCCACAAAGCTGTCTGGATATTCCAGTTATCAAGAAACATCTTGAAACTTGTTGAGAACTGTAAAACATAACACACTATTATTTAATATCTGTAAAGTTTCCTGGGTTAAAAGAGATATATTACTACAATATGCCATATGTAAAGGATGAATTATTTTTTGAGATAAAGAAGGAAAAGCACACACTACAATCACTACCAACTCCAGGAGTTTTCAAGAGAAATTCTCTTTTCTTTTCCGCTTATTTGGGTTAACACTAACTACTTCCCGCTGTGGCAAGACTGCCAGTTTGTCAGTTTCGAATTCTTGAATCCTGGACAAGATTAAAGTTTCTGCAGTTCAGTGGAAAGGGATATGTTGTACTTTTAAAAATTCAATGTGAGTGATAGTGGATATGCCTAGATTTGTTGCATGAGATAAGGTGAGAAACTAGAGGGCAGTGCAACAACTGTGTTTGTTCAAAATTTCGAGAAATGGCTTTTCGTGAGAGAAACAAGAAGCTGCCAAACTGCTGTTCCTTTTTTCCTTTTTAGAAAAAACAAATACATTTTAAAGCTCTAGTACAAGGATTTTAACTGAAAATCTAGCATTACTGATCAGCACTGTTGTTTTTGTCCCTGAGAGTAATTTGAAAAGACACTTCCACATCCACTCTATCAAAGAGGAAGACATTTCCTATGTGCACAATGCTCTTTCTCTACACAGGGTACATGTGAAGGGATGAAGCAATGCCTTTTCTTCTGGTATTGAGCAGACAATGCAAGAAACTTGTTCTAGATTACTAGGCTAAATGGAGAACAGGAGGCTGCCAACAGCCAGTGAGCAGCCAGAAAGAATGGCCTTTTTGTGTTAAGTAGCACTAAGCAGAATGCCAATCTCCATGCTTGGTGGTGACTGAGATCCTGCAACTCACTCTCTGAATTATGTGCATCCCATACCTAATACAGACATTATACCAAAACAGAACTGACACGTTTACAGCACTGGAGAGCTCAACTATTTTTATTTTCATGAATATTTTCAAGAGACTGATGACCAACCTCTATATGTAGAATTCGTAGATTTGAAATTGAATCCCAGTGTGAGACTCCATTTTTATCATAGCCTCTAAATCCAAACCCAGCTGCATTATTAATTGCATCTGCTGTAACAAAACATGAGAATTGGTTGTAAGACACCTTATAAAATTATATCAAACCAAGTTGCATTTTGATTTTTTTCCCCACTGAAGCCTGTCACATTTTCCAAGACACTGTAATTTTTTTTGCATCAGTTACCCTGATCTTTAAATTCTGAACAGGAGGCTCACAGCTTGGTGAGGATTCACTGGGTCCCGGTGCAGAGCAAGGCCTTCCCTACTGTTGGTCCGACACCCTAATGAGACAGGTTAAGGTCCTAATGTCGAGTATTTCCACTATCTATTTTCATTTATTTATACAGCACCATCAGTCTACAGAGAGAAAGCACAGCTGTCAAGAACAGGGACTGAATCCTCACTTAGCCATGGAAATCCACTGAGTGGCTTTGGGCAAGTCATTCTCTCTCAACCTCAGAGGAAAGCAAAAGCAAGTGCCTCCCAAACACATCTTGTCAAGAAAACCCTGTGATAGGGTTGCCTCAAGTCAAAAACAACTTGAAGGCACACAGCAACAACACTGTGCATGAAGAATCATGTAAAGAATAATTTGCCCCATCCTTTCCCTGGCTGTTAATGCTTACAGTCACTATGCTGATTTTAATGAAATGTTTTACTGTTTTGTCATTGTAATTTTATTTGCATTTTGATAAGTTTCTTGTGCTAGTAAACTGCTTTGAGACCTTTAAAAAAAAGAAACAGAGTACAGGCATGATCCTAATGAACTGCAAAAAGGTTAATATAAAATCAATCCAACATTCCAACTTTCCCCACCAACAGACAAGGGTTCTGAGCAATTATACAACACAAGGTATCTAAATAATTTCTTAAGTTACATTAAAGAAGAAACATTCAAGTGACAGTGGGGGAGAACGACTACTTTCTGAATTCAGAAGCTGGAAAAGACTGCTTTGCTACTCCAGTTTCATCTCCTGTTTCATAAAATAAGTATAGACATCTTGGAAAAGCATGAACTATCATAATAATTTAAGGCACAAATATATTGTGCAAAAAAACTGATAGCTACTCAAAGCATATGTTTGGGCACTTATTCAGAGGGCTATATTTCATCTATACCAGTGGTTCCCAACCTTTGGAGTACTGATTCAGAAAACTGCATCGGATAGACCACATCAGCTCTAGTTTCCGATAAAGAACATATGCCATCCAGTAGTTGCCATCTGCTCACCCACAGAAACCCATATTTAATAACATAGAACTGATGTAGGCTATCCACTGAAATTTTCTGAATCAGCACCCCAAATAACCCCAGGAACAGGCCTAAAAACGAAGACACCAAGAAAAAATTTTTTTTTGGTTGGGCTGTTATTATCCGTAGTAGTAACGGTGAGGCTGCGGACCATATTTTAGTTCTTGTGGACCCCTGGTGGTCCACGGACCACAGGGTGGGAACCACTTATTTACACCATCAAACATTTTTTTTTGCTCATGGGCATTTTATACCTCATAAAATACTGGAACATAGAGTGTCTGAGATTGAGGCATTCAATTGTAGTTTTCTAATCTGTCTGGATGAGACAGATTAGAAAACTACAATTGTGACCATTCAAAAGCTTCCATAAAGGATGGTTTGAACTAGAAAAAGATCATGGCAATACTAGGAGTGTAACACAAATCCTATCGGTTGTACTGCCAAAATGGAAAAAAATAGATCAGCAGTGCAACCTCTTTAATTAAAATCTATGACATAATTATCAAATTATATAGCTGGTGTGCTTCTCACTTATATTTAAAACTAGTTGAAATGAATCAACTACCTTGTATATATTTTTCCTTATTTTTAAAGGCAATCTTTGCTGTGCTTTGCAAAATACAGCATCTTCTTTCAATACAATTCCTTCTCATTCCACAAGAGGTCACTATCTCAAATATATTAGATACGCTATGCAAGATCCCTCAGTTTGAAAAGGGACATTTGTGCAAAAAGACTACTTACCCAAAGTCCATGCAAAATAGTATTTGGGTCTGGCTGCCATAAGAGATAGGTACAAGTAGATAACCCTTGTAGGCAGTGATGCTGTTGCTCTAAATTGATCATCAATGTTGTATTCTACAGGCAATAATTTGCTAACAGTCATATGAAACAATAAGGAGAGCCCACATACTATGAGTTTCTGCGCCACAGCTATCTGAAACAGGGAAGATACAAGAATTTTGTGAGAATTTTTTAAAAGACGTGAATAGGGTGACATACACTTTTTACCCCCAGTACAACAATCTGTTTAGATTTGAGAGAGTAAACACTTATGCTTGCTTAAAAGAAGATGGTAAACATTTTCTAGTGGCAATTAAAACTTTAGAGAGTTGGGAACATGGTAAGTATTTTGGCATATCATATGGCTTCAACAATAAAGTCTTTTACATTTTCGATTTTTGTGGGGTAGGAATACATACATATGCAATATCTTGGAGATAGGTCCCAAGCCTAGACACAAAAATCATTAATATACACCTTGTATCCACAGCTTGAAAATAACTTCAAATGCAGCTTTTTAAATAAAGTTGTTCCCCATTTCAATTACGGGAAACAAACCAGGATCATTAAGCCACAGTTTAAAGATGATTTTAATTAAATCGTTCAGGTTTTAGAAAAGTTAACTGCTCTTATTTGAATACAGAACCAAAAGTATCCCATCTTTTGCAGATAGGTCAATGGAAAAAAGACATAAAATTGTATGAGCCTATTACTTTCTTCTGCTCTTGGATACAATACTGACCTGTGTCATAGTTTTATGTAGTCCTTTGGCTTTTTTACTGCATTTCTCCTGGATTAGGTATTATAATCAAGGTACAAATCTACAAGCCCTAGCTGGGTAGGAAATAAGAAGTAAATCTACAAGGAATTTATTTGTAAGAGGCTGAGCAAAGTGGGCTACATGGACCCACCCTGGCTATATCTGTGATCTCCAGTGATCATTATTTTTAAATATATATATATCAATAAAGGTGTTTTATTTTGCTCTATAATGCCTCCAATTGCATTCTGTGAGCTATAGGACACACCTAATTGGACCAAATAAGGCAGCATGGGGATGAATGGACTTTGTGGCATCCACATGATGCATGGAACCGATTTGTCCTACACACCTCACAAGGTGACTTCACCATATCCTGCATTACCCAAAGTTGGAGAATCCCCCAGAGTTTTCCTGAAATTCCAGAGCTCATCCACACTTTTGAATGTGTGTGTAAAAAGTTGTGTCGGTTCTAATCGGGAACCAGCTGCTGATATTTGCACAGCCATCCCTCTTTCCCCAGAGCTCAGGCAGCCTGGGAATAGAGCTTAGTTACTGTAACCACCCTGTCCCTATTACAGCAGCAACCATGGTGCACAAAATTACTTGTGGTCATCGGTCATTGCTGGTGTTCATGCTGAACAAAATGCCAGTGCAGTCGGAGAGGGGATGGGGAAAGGAGGATGGGTTTGACATCCCTGGGCAATGAGGATACCTTCCTGCTGCCAGGGAGTGAGGGGTTCGGATGCTGACTGTGCAAAATACTCTAATCTGGATGAGCCTTGTCATAAAGAGACATATGTAAATATGCCCATGATATTTCCACTAGAACAGACCTGTCCCACAGGCATGCCAAGAGTCAAAAACAATTTTAGCAATATCCCCCCTTCCCCAATTGCTTTTGCTCCTAAACATCCATCCTTTTTAGAATACAGCCTAACAGGAAACACATGGCTGTGTGATATGCAGCCAAGGAAGTTTTTATTTGACTCCTCAATCACCAACCTATAAGCTTCAAAAAGGTCTGATAAGATTGTGAATTGCACTCACAATATTGTATCTATCTACCTACACACGTGTGTGTGTGTGTGGTGTGTAAATCAAATTACAATGGGTTAATCATTTTAATGCATTTGTATTCAGAGCACTATGTGACTGCATTAACCTTCAAAGAAAATTCAATAAAAATCAAAACACAATATTTTGGTATAGCAGTTTGTTGAATGATGGGTAATGATTTCTAATTTAACAGAGCCATTACTAAAAAAAGAATACTAACAACAGCTATTGGTCCATTAAAACGCAACACCCTATTCATACTTGTAGTGAACAGACTTTCCCACATATTACAAGTACTGCTTTCACTGCAATCTACCGATTATGTGGATTTTTTTCTGGAATTTTCTCTTTCTGCCTTCTAAAATTATGCACTGCGTGACAGATTGAGGGAGTGTATTTTACATATGCTTTTAACACATCTGCTACTGTTTTGATTTGAAGTGTCGCTCATTTCCTCAGATTTTCTACCCACATTTCTGTCATTCCTGACCTTGTCCTGCTACAGTTTGCTTTCATGGAAAAGATGACTGGACTAGGTTTGCTTCAGGTATGGTTTGATGTTATTGCTGGAGCCTGAAAACATGGAGGTGGCCCTATATACAACACAGAGAACTAAAACAGCAAGCTTATATACCTGAACCATGTGTACTATTATATGTTCTTAATTTCCTGTTTCTTACAATAAGTGTACTATTAGCTATTCAAGAAAAGAATTGATCCATCATACTGGATGTTTAGCTACTGTACTACACGAAGAGAGAACTGATTTTTACTATTCTGCTCTATTCCTGATGCTTTGCAGTTTCACCTTATCTTTCAGCTGTATTCTTTGCATGGATGGTGTCGTCAGTTCCCCAGTTTACACAGACACAACAGCAACAAAATTCTTAGCCAGGCATTTCAATTTTACCCGAGCTTAATTTTAATTTTACCTGAGCTCAAAGCAGCCAGCAAAGATTTTAACAAGATTTATTGTTACAACTTTATTACAGCCACCCATTCACAAAATGCCTAGTCCATCACTATTCCTACAGTGTTTCACACCAAGCCCTGCTTCGCAAAGGTAACTGTGACAGAGAAAATATGACCTAGATTATCAAAAAGAGAAAGTCTGCTGTCTAGAGAACGTGTAGACATCTTGTCGGAGTCTAACATTCAGATCTACAACCTACTCCCTGAGGGATGCCCAAGGAAAGCCATATTTGATTCTATTTTACAAAGTCTGATTTAAACTCCTGTCTCTGAATTCTGAATACAAAAAAAGCCATTGCTAACTGTACTTCATGAAAGTTAGTAGCTTGAGTTTGAAATAAAAATTCTGATACAGTTCACTAAAGAGTGAGATAAATCTACACTTTAAGGAGAATTATTAAACTAGATTTGTTAAGTTATGCTTAATATAAATGTTCTTCTTTGTTCTCTTTTAAATCACATTTAAAACCATTAAGCTACATTTTAACCCTATGCATGGAGCTTATCAAACTCGAGAAGGCTGCTGTGATCACTAACGCTTTGATCTGAGAAGCATAAACCCAATGCACATCTTTTTAGTTCACATAAACGCTAAAAGAATGTCATTAATTATGGAGTTGTCAAACTTCTGTGTCGTCTTGGATCATAGTCTTTATCAAGTAAAGACTGATTTTTTATTGAGAAGGAGGAGTTGAAAATAGTGAATGATTTGTCTCAATGGAAGCAGATGTCTTTTGGACTTATGTAGAAACAGTTTACTATATGTTTGCTTTGAGAAGCAGGGAGTACAGTTATACAGTTTGGACTTTCATAAGATGTATACTTAAAGACTTTGGACTATGGAATATTGCTTAAGAATGATGCTCTGCGTTCTCAACAAAGAGAAACTACATCCTATCTGTACCTAAATTTTAATAAGAAATATGCCTGGGTACTGAATTAATACAAGATGTTTATGAGTAAACAAGATATGTTACTTTTTAAAGAAGACTTTGTTTTTTGTCTCAGAGTGCATATTTTAAGGTAAGAGGTTTCAAGGGAGAGTACATGTTTTGGGCAACCGCAATTCCAACTTCAACTTCAAAGAAACATTTTAAAACTCTGCTAGCTAAGTATATTTTTTGTGCAGTGGCATGTCTTCGTCCCTGGCAGTTCAAAGACATGGTTTATCGGTTTAACAGCTGATTTACCTGTGTGCCATAACATGAATGCTTGTGAACATCACTTTTTCAACTGGTTCATTTCTATCAGGGTCATGCCTTTCCTTGACTAGTGGTTTTCAAAAGGTGGTCTACAGATGTTCATGGAGATTCATATTTGCCAAAAGGATATGACATCATTTTACTTTTCAAAAAGGTTATGAATGCCATTTTTTCCAAAATTCATGCCTTCTGATATGCAATTCTCTTGTCATTCATTTTTTTATCTTATCCTTGCAGAAGTAAGGAATTTTCAGCACAAGAGGATAACTAACTTAATGCATATTTGTATGTGCCAACCTGGCAAGAAAAGGTAGAAATCCTTTCCCCACATTGATATCTGATGTACAAGCTGCTGATAAGGAATACCTATTATTTCTTTCCAATTCATAATTAAAATATATTTCAAATAATGAGCAAAACTGATACCATAGGTATTGTGAGCGGGTACAAACTGATGTAATATATAATAAGAAAAAGCCAAATAATGTACATCTATACTACAAGATTATGAATTCACCTCTTAATGTAGAGATTTTACACATTATACCACTGGTCCATTGATATGACAATAAAATTCAAATTATATCTATGTGTAAACCAATAAAACAATCAAAGAAAACATTTTTAATTACACGCAGAAAACATTTTTAATTACACAAAGGGAAAAAACCCTTTTCAGGGATCATGTCATTTCATGCAGTATGGCAACCTATCCTGCAAGGGCCATCCTAGTTGCCAATTTGTTTGGGGGCCAATTCAAATTGTTAATGAAGAACTTTGAAGTCCTAAATGGTTAGGTCCAAGATTCTTTCAGCATTTCTTCTTTCAGCATCAACCAGAACACATCCTACAACCTGATCAAGAGGACTTTCTCTGTATCCTAACTACAGCAAAGTCCATATGATAGGAAGAAGAGAAAAGGCCCTCTCCACTTTCTAAATCTAAGCTATGCAATTTTTTGCCTGGGGAGGCTAGGCTACAACTTTGGTATAATTTGGTATAATTTTGCCATATGGCAAAGACTGTTTTGCTTAGGTAATTGCTTATTTACCTGCTGAATTTTTATTACAGTAATACATTACATTGCTCCTTTAGCATTTTCTGTTATTTTATTATTAGTTTTAACCTTTTTTTCATGTCAGGAGCAACTTGAGATACTGC